GAGAATTGCAGATAACAGAGAAACTGCACACAACATTGTTGAATGGGAATAGACCATGGGGCATATCAAGAAGACAGTTGAGAAGTAATATTCCGGCAGGTCGACACACACTTGGATTCTGAAGAATAAAACACTTTCATTACTTCCTATAAATACTGTACAACTTTTGCTGTGTAGGCAGGGTAGTCATTGGAGTCACTGGATGGAAAGAGAAGTTCAATCACAGAGATGCATGGATGTGTGTGATATCTGCAGCAATGAACCTCAGAGGCGCGGAATGCTGAAGAGGAAATAACGAGTAAACCAGCCTGTGTGCCGGTTAGGATGTTATGGAAACCACATCTGTTGAAAGTTACCATACAATTCAGTAAGGGTCAGGCATACCACCGCAGAGAAAATGGTGGGGGGGGGGGGGGGGGGGGGCTCAGGGGGTGGTAATTTTCTATGGTCGGGAATCTCTTTAAGTCTTGTCTAATTGTGCAATAATAATAGGAACGTATATTATTTTTATTGCACAATTAAATAAGGATTTAACCCTTAGAATCCCCGCAATTAAAAAAATTATGGAAGAGGCCATAGAGGGCCTAAACTCTGTTCAACTTTGTAATATTATTACTAATCCATTATTATGTGTATGATGGTAAATTTGAAAAGATAAATTATTTGAAAAAACATAAAATACATAAACAACAGTTTAAAAAGATAACACATATATATATATATTTATTTATATATATATATTTATATATGGGTGGGATGGGGAGGGGGTGCTACCTAAAACTTTTTCAGTGTGCCTGAGCCCGCAGGTATTATTATGTTTATCTGTTACTGAACATATTATTATTATTATTATTTATGCTAAAAAGAAATATATACAGCATCTGCTCCACATAATATGAAGTTAATAATCAACTAATTTTAAAGATAATTTATAATATATAAATGGTTAGTTGCGTATCCTTTACAAGACGTTAAGAACCATCCCCAGCATTTGTTGGTTTTTTGTTACTGCAATGCTATCAAATCACTTGCAGCTTGGACCGAACCGGGCCTGGCACCACGGAATAACGAAGCGTATTCGAAACGCATGAGCATTCCTAAAGGGCATCATTCTCTCCAGCCCATAAAAATCTTCTTTCTCTACTGATTCCGTTGCTTGGCCTTGACCACATCTGCCTTGTCATGTATCAATTCACCCCCCCCCCCCCCAGTGATGCGGATCCAGCCAATCTGTCTGACTGTTCATTACCTACCACGCCGGCATTGCATGGAGAATAGATCCAAAGTATGCTCACCACCCGTGACCTTTCCAGTGAATCTCGCCACTCTGCTCGAAGCATCCGTGCCCTTGATTTTTTTCAGCATGCTTTCAGAGTCTGTTACAGGGTTATCTGGTCGAGACTCAACACTCAAGGAAAAGGCGAGATATAAGTACAATCATAGACAGATTATTGATACTGGCTAGGATCTGCGGGCCACTTGCTAGTTTGCTAGGCCTCCCGCGGGCCGGCAGTTGAATAGTCCTGCCATGGGAGTCCCCGTAGCGAAGTGGTCAAACCGTTTGCCTCGCGCTTTGAATGACGTGGGTTAGTTTACGAGAGCAATTTTTTACAGAGATCTCTAAGGATCGTCATCGGAGCTACGGAGTGCGTGCTTTGTGCGGTGTTCTCTGCGGGCGGTTAACCGCTCGGTGGAGAGGGACCGAGGTATATGGGTTAAAACCCGGTGAAATTAACTCGACTTTTAACCTTTATCGTCAAGTCTGAGTCGAATTAAAGGGAAACAACCAAGCGACTGTTCCAGACAGAGGAGTCACTTCCCCTGTGTTGTTGTGGACGTCCATATCTGCTGGAGACAGATCACAGATTTCAACTCTTGGTCTCGATTGTCTAGTTGACATATTCAAACAGTCGCGCTTATGCACAAGTTAACATACGTAATAATTAAGTGAGGTGTGTTAATTTGTCATTGTCACCACTATTTCATTCTGTGATATACAGCTTATTAGACAAGACAATGATACATTTAGTTTTTACAAAATTACAAATTACATGCCCTGAGCCAAACACACTCACAGTACACTGTCCACGTATTTGTTATTCTATTAACACCAAAACATGATAAACGGCGCTTAAGTTAAGTATATTGTATTAATATTAACTACTAGATTTAAACAAATTGATGTGAAAGACGCTTATTACCCCAGTCGCACATTCATGATCATGTAGCATTAGTAGATCCTTTGCACGTCACTCTCACCAGTCTGCTAAAGAGAAATTCGGCTATCCTCCGAATAACGCTCCTAAATTATCAAGGCAGAAAATATACCCTAACAGGGCCTCAGTCACGTGTCAATTGCGAACTTCCGGTGACTTAAATTGCGCACTCCTGGCGACTACCACCACCGCCACGAGTATCTCCTAGGTTGCTACGCTCAGCGTGGATTGGGGGTAAACTAGATGGCTGGGACTCACGAGCAGCAGCTACAGCATCTCCTGCAGCTTCCTTCATTTGTTAGCTCGTGAGTCCCAGCCATCTAGTTTAGCCCCAATCCACGCCGGAAGTCTGCGATTCGGCTGTGGCCGTATAGTCCTCGGAAGTCCACAATTGACACATTTCTGAGACCCTGTTAGGGTATAATTTCGGCCATGATAATTTGGGATCGTTATTAGGGAAATAGCCAAAATTCTGTCTCTTGCCAGCTCTACCATTCCTACCCATTCCTGTCACTTACATCCTCTGCCCATATTTGTGCTGGTCGGCCACTCCCCCTCTTTCCTTGTACCACACCTTCTGCTGTTATTCTTTCCAACCTGCATTGGCTTCTTTTATAGAGCCAACCTATTTAACTTTGAGAAACAATGTGCTGTTTAGTAGCCAATTTTCCTTGTTGTTCAGATCTTTTAGGATGTCAGTATTTCCTTCTTGGTCCTTGGTATTCTAAGAATCTGTCTATAGCATTTCAACACAAAAATCCATGTTTTCTTCCTTAACTCTTTTGAGTCCCAGAGGGTTTAGCATCGAAGGCCCAAGGGGTGGTAATGCAATTCTTTAATTTCACAAGTGTAAGACAATAAAACAGACCAAACTAATTCAATTGCCGCGCAACATACAATAAAGTTACCAGGGATTGTTGAGGAATAATTTTAGCATAGAGCTGTAACAAATAATTGCGTTACTAATAAAAACATTATTAAATAAACAGACGGTAGTTTACAAAAATTAGTAAAAGGAAAAAAAGAAAAATTTCCACTTACCACCAATGCACTTAACTCTTTGAGTCAAAAGGAACGCATCACGCGCTCATTTTTTACTACTTGGCGGCCCAAACAGCGCATGACATGTGACGGTTTTTAATTTACCACTTATCGGTAATTACACGTGAACCGCTCAATTTAAACTTCCTTTCCAGTTCTCAAGTGTGTAGTGAACACACGTGGAGTGCATTCGTTTGGGTCTGTTGAGTTTTTAACGCTTTAAATCGATATTTGTGTGGTCTACTACATTACCAAACAATTGTCTGAAAACAATATGTCCAATCAGTCATCGTCTTCACGCCCAGCAAAGCGATTTACTGCTTTAGAATCATCAAATTTGATAAAACAGTGGATCAGTTAAAGTAATGTGGAGTTGGATAATGAAAGTAGCGACGTGAAATTTCCCCAAACCGTTGACGAGTCAAGTTTTGATGAGGATGTGTGCGTAAGTTACCTCTTGCTAAGAGGACAAAACTGACTAATTCTGCCTTGGCAACACAAGAGAAGCACCTCGTAACGCGACACCAGCTAGTCCAAATGTCAGCGCTTCTAGTACTTCTATCCATATCATCTAAAACCATAGATATATATCTATGAACAGATTGACATGTTTACAGTGCCTTTACAGTTTTTTTCTATGTTAGGAATTCAATTGATTTTAGAAAAGTCACTGTTTGTGCCACTGAAGAATATATTTTGACGTGTTATGGTAGTGTTATTAAAATTGCTATGGAACAAAAACTATTGCACATTTTGCTTTAATATTGGCTGTGCATACTTATAAGTGGTGTACCTTCCTTTGTGATGTATTTTGGATATACTATATCAAGAATTTTGGGATCAGCTTCTGGGTAAGTGGAAAAAACTTGTTCATAATTTACTCACCTCTCAAACTAAGTCACTGTTTTCTCTGCTAAAAACTAACTAACAGTATAATTGTTTGTTGTAGCAGTATGCTAATAATTAATCCTTATCCATTTATGTTTAATTTTATGTATGATATGTGTATGTTGGACATCAGCTGCAGTTGTGAGGTTTGTTTTAAAGTGCTGCATTTGTTAAAAGTCAAAATCATATTACCCCCCTTGGGCCTCTGGTGCAAAACCCCCTGGGACTCAAAGAGTTAAGAAAAAAACTGGTTAAAATGTATCCAAAATGAATCACAGATGAATATGAACCACTTAGTAATGTGTAAGTAAAATATGAACTCAATCTATACATTAGATTTTGTTCCAGAGAATATTTTGAAGCATCATAACAGAGCACTATTATTTGGTAAAGAAAACTGACTCCCAAAACAATAAGTATCTTCACGCAAAACAAAGTTTATATAACATTCAATTTGCCTGTAATTTTGTAGCTATGTTCCTAAATAATAAAGGGAATAGCGCTAGAACTAACTGGTACTAAAGAAAATTAAAATCGTATTTTCACTGATGTTTATTCTTTTTGTGCTAGCTGTCTTTGCTATCGTTGTACCCTTCGCGTAAGGTACACATGAGACATATCCTTCATTAAGTTTGACTCTATAAATGACTGAAACATGCCTAATTCACAACGCTATCTATCTAACTTCAGATAAATTAGCGCTTCTACATAGGAACCTGTGACGTAAAATGTGTTCATTGGGACTGAAAGAGTTAAGGGGCAAGGGGTCTGTTATTCTTTGCTAAAATAACTGACATTCTACCTTTTTTTTTCAAAGAGCTCTGTAGTTCAGTGATGATGGTATGTTGATTCTGTATGGAGGGAGAGGCCGCTGCAGAACAGTTTTCCCTCCCTTCAACTAGAGATGTCCTAGGTGCTCATCTCCATCAGAAGGTGTCTTCATCTCTCAATGGGCATCTCACTGAGGCTAAGGTAAGAACATCATTTAGACATCACCCATTGGAGTACATTTGTGCTTCTTTATATCATCCAGTTATGTCTGTTTCTGTTTTCTTTGCTTGTTTGTTTTATTTTGACAGAACTTGTTCATCAGTTCTTTTATTTTGACTGAACTTGTTCATCAGTTCTTTTATTTTGACAGAACTTGTTCATCAGTTCTTTTATTTTGACAGAACTTGTTCATCAGTTCTTTTATTTTGACAGAACTTGTTCATCAGTTCTTTTATTTTGACAGAACTTGTTCATCAGTTCTTTTATTTTGACAGAACTTGTTCATCAGTTCTTTTATTTTGACAGAACTTGTTCATCAGTTATTTTATTTTGACAGAACTTGTTCATCAGTTATTTTATTTTGACAGAACTTGTTCATCAGTTCTTTTATTTTGACAGAACTTGTTCATCAGTTCTTTTATTTTAACAGAACTTGTTCATCAGTTCTTTTATTTTGACAGAACTTGTTCATCAGTTCTTTTATTTTGACAGGACTTGTTCATCAGTTCTTTTATTTTGACAGAACTTGTTCATCAGTTCTTTTATTTTGACAGAACTTGTTCATCAGTTCTTTTATTTTGACAGGACTTGTTCATCAGTTCTTTTATTTTGACAGAACTTGTTCATCAGTTCTTTTATTTTGACAGGACTTGTTCATGAGAACCTCAACAAGTTAAGTCATGAGGGTCTTCTACTACATTTCCCTGGGGTTTATCCCATATGGATCTGTCTCTCCCAGCAGAGTGGCTAGCCATTTGCTGCGAGCGTCTCACTAAGTATGAACTGCATAGTATCTCTGTGACTATCCTGGGGGATGTCCTAAACAAATTGTACTAATGAACCTAGCAACACAGGCCATGACTTCCCATACGGGTTTCCAGGCCCCACTGTGGGGAAAAACAAGAACAGACCCACTGCCTCCCCAACAAGCCTGTCCTAAGAGTCGACTAATTAGGAGCTTTCAAAGTTGGAGTGCATCTGCCTGAGAGGAAGGAACCAACAATCTGCATACAGTTAAGTCAGATCTGTTAAATAGATGTGCACGCAACACTCAGATTCTGGAACAAGACTAAAAGTCCAGAGATGGACAAACAACCAGAACTTTCCGTCAGAGTTTAAAGCAAGTGAACACGGAGAAAAAGAACCCATGACATCAGAGTGCAAGGCACATGGCTTGACCACTTGACCTGGCAGACCCTGAACCTTGGCAAATACTGTAGTTATCAACAGCAATAATCTTGTATTGTCATCCTAGATGTTATAGCAAAATTATGTGCTTAATTAATTTGTGATTTCTGTGTTATTTTTTTGAGTAGCTGCACCTTTGTCTAAAAAGAGTATGGTGACAGATTAATAATCATCACACAGTTCAATTAAAATTACAGCAAACTGATCAGAATTATATGAAGCTGAAGAAAGTAGCGAAGTAGACTTGCCTCGGCCATATGTACAGTCTGTCTTTGATAAAGGACTGATTTTTCCAACATTTGTTCATTATGGAGTAGAAGAAGAAGAGGTAATAATAAAAAGAAACAGTGGCACAAGGAGCAGGAGGAGAAGAAGAAGAGGTAAGAAGAAGCAGAAACAGTAGCACAAGAAGCAGGAGGAGAAGAAGAAGAGGTAAGAAGAAGGAGAAACAGTGGCAGAAGGAGCAAGAGGAAAAAAAGGAAGAGGTCATAATAAGAAGAAACAGTGGCACAAGGAGCAGGAGGAGACAAAGAAGAGTTAGTGGCATGATCATTGCAATTCCTTTTATGGCCAAGAGATTAATTTTCTATTCTTATTACTGAAATAATGATGTGATCATGTTTTAAATGTTTCAGAAAATGGTTTCAGATGAATGTATCCTTGCAGACAAAATTACAGGTATGCTTCTGGAGAGGTCACTTAAGGACATCCTTGCAATGCTTCAGGATGATGCAGTTCTGCTGAGAAACGTGAAGGTGGCACTGGAAGTTTTACGCAAAGCATACCCAGAGCAATTGCAAACACCTACATCTGGCAGATTTGAAGAGAGGTGAGTTTTTGTGTGTGGCTGCTGTGTATATAGGACATACAGTGGAATGAATTCAAAGAGAAGAGGTCTGAAGACATAAGATAAATATCAGGGGGACCACTGGTAACAATTATTTTAAGACATGGTGCTTTATTGAATACATCCTGAGAAGAAATTAGCAGAGAGTCACTCACTAAACAGGCACTAAAATGGGAAATAAAGGGGTTGAGGTAGCAAAGACATCCAGAAGAAATGGCAAAACAATAGTTAATGAGAGAAGCGAAAGTTCTAGAATGGATTCCATAAAGTGCTAGAGTGGATACCATAAAGGGCTAGAGTGGATTCCATTAAGTGCTAGAGTGGATTCCATCTGTGATATAGAACAGGAAAGAACAGAACACGGAGACATAGACTGTGAGTCCTTTATGACATCATGCTAATGATGATTTGATTCATTTGGCTTCACAAACCCACCAGGGTCTTTTTTTGCAACCACTGTATGATTGTCTCCTCACTCTAGCCTGTGTGGCTTTCAGGGCCCTATGTTGCATACTGCCTCCCTAACAAGTATGTTCTCCAAGGTGACTCATTAAGGATTTGCTGCAATTGGATGTACTTGGCGGAAGTGCACAAATATGGCAGCTTGGCTGTAAACTACAAAACTGTGTGTAAACCACAGTTTTAAAGGTGAATGTAGAAGTTTCCCTCTTCCAGTAATCGTGATCCAAATGCAAGCGGAATTAAAGGAACATGCTAATTCCTATTCATGTCTTCTTCTTCTGCCTTTCTATCCCCCAAAGGAGCATAGGCCCTCAAACAACTCACGCCAAGTCGTTCTATCCTTCGCCATTACATGGAGCTCTCCCCATGTCTCCCCCATATTTTTAACTTCATTCTCCAGCTCTCTTCTCCATGTGTTTTTAGGCCTTCCTTTATTCCTATGCCCACTGTGGATTCCAATGCAAAGACATTCTAGTTATGCTGTTCTCCTGTTTTCTCAGTGTGTGTCCTATCCAATGCCAGCGTCTTCCTCACCTCTTGGTCCACTGGAGTCTGACACCTATTCATGTAGAAGCATAATATGAAGTAACAATGACATGAGAGCACATACAAACTGGCTGAGATTAAACGTAGGTTGTTCATGTTTTTCCCACATGATTTACATATATCATTATTTCATTTTAGTTGGTGCCTTTCTGTCTTTCTAGACAACAATGTTATACTGTAGGGAGACAAAGGAATCATAGCCCATGGTGATGAGCAGATAAGGCCAGGGATGAAGTTCCTCCTGTCCACAGAATAAAGTATGGGCAGTATTCTAGAGCCCATTAGTTACCCATGCAGCTTGATCCCTCTTTTGACCTGCCTGATTCACTCCAATAAAAATTACCACCAGTATATTTGGAGCAAAGCACACGCTGCTGAAGTTACTGGGTCAGAAGAGCAGCGCTCTGACTGCCTGTTAGAGCTTTCCTCTTAGACTTGCTGCCAATGAAGGCTAATGTATATCGGGGCCAACAGAAACCACTGAAAATCCACCACTCTCATGCATGTAAGTTTATATTCCTCTACTGTCAGTTATCCCCCAGGGGAATTTAGGCCCCTCGACTAACTCTCACTAAATTGTCATATACTGTGCTATAACATGCAGCTCCCGAACATGTCCTCCTCATCTTTTTCCCACTTAACTCAAAGTTTATATGATGTCCTTTAGACATTTTCTCTAGTTTTCATTATATTCTCACTGCACAGTGACAAGAAATTAGCAGACAGTACACAACCTCACCATATACTCTTCTTTATGTGTTTATATGTTCCTGTCATACTACGTGGTCTTCCAGGATATACCATATTTGTTATGTTTATCTGTGATATTACATTGATAGCATAATCTAGAATTGTTATTTGAGTTACAGACCAGAGCTTTCACTTGATGGAATCGGAGAAGTACTTTTTGAGAGAGTTTGCAGTATTGAGGAATCTCTGGCTCCACAGATTACAGGTAAGTGGACTTTAATGCTAAATAGGACTATAAATCTTAGTAACAGAAAGACACTTGCTCATAAATTAAGACACTGTGTTCAACATTTATTTTTCTGATCAAATCAAATAGAAAACATGAATGTTTTTTTTTCCTTCTTAGCATCCACCTACTGTAAACTCCAATAGAAAGTTCTGGTTGTTTGTACACTTCTGAAATTTAGTCTTGTTCCAGAAGTTACATTTTGCATGTAAATCCATTTTTTATATCTGGTTTACTTGTTTGCAGACTGTTGATTCCTTGCTTCTCAGGCAGATTTGTATCTATAATTATTTATATCAGTAAACAACAGCCAACAACAAATAGATAGCTACTAATGTACTCTATGTGTATATAAGAACAAATGATTAAGATGGCCTAAATGATCTTAGATAAAATCCTGTTGGATTTTAATCCCTGTAGGATGGATAATGCCTGTTATGTAAACAATTTATTGTTCCCTTTGACATCTAATCCAGCATTTGAAATCTATGTTTTTATTTGTTGTAACTCTTGTGTAGGTATGATATTGGAACTAGATGTCCCAACACTTCTGCACATAATCAACACTGATGGCTCTTTGCTGGAGTCTGCTGTTCAGAAAGCCAAGGAAGTCCTTTTGTCAGAAACATTTTTAATAGAATGTCCTCCTGGCCCTCATTCACTGTTCTCACACCCAGAGTTGATACTCAAGGATGTCAGCTGTCAGTCACAGGGAGAAGTTGATGACGAACCTGCCCGGGAGATTTTAGGAGAGCAGATTTATGAACGAGTGAGGGGAGTTCATCCAGAATGTGCTTCAGATCTGACAGGTAGGTGAGATGGTCATCTGACTGGTATGAGAAAGATTTTTTTTACATGTGTAATGTAGATGTTTTTCTGACATATGTGGGAGAGAGATGTTTGTCTGACAGTTGTGGGAGAGCTGTTTACTTGACAGGTTGTAGAGAGATGTTTATCAGACAGGTGTGCGAGGTAGAGATGTTTATCTGGCAGAGGTGGGAGGTAGACATGTTTATCGTGCAGGTGGCGAGGGGAGATGTTTGTCTGACAGGTGAGGGAGAGAGATGTTTATCTGACAGGTGTGGGAAAGATGTTTATCTGACAGGTGTGGGAGAGAGATGTTTATCTGATAGGTGTGGGAGAGAGATGTTTAGCTGACAGATGTGGGAGAGATGTTTATCTGACAGGTGTGGAAGGGAGAGATGTTTGTCCGACAGTTGTGAAATTGATGTTTATCTGATTGATAATTTAAGTTTGATCATGTTGTTATATGTTTTTGTGAGACATCTGAAAAGGGCTGCAAGAGTAACTAGAAGAGATAAAATAAGGAATGAGATAAAGTTGTCACCACAAAACAATTTTAATTTCATACAAAGACAGCAAATCTATTGGTTTGCCCATTAGGAGAGATTGCCTTATGACATCATAACATACAAGCCGTACACCAAAAGAGGAGAAGGACATAGTCAGTTCGTCAGTCAGTAGCATGTCCTTTGCATAACTTTGCTCCCATTACAACCCTCCGGACATTTTTTTCAAAATCACAAGCAAGATGTCCTGTGTCCTATACACCCATCTGGAGATCATCCGCCACATCCTGCACCAATTTTTTTCTTTGGCCTTCCTCTCTTCCCAAGCATTATTGTTCTCTCTAAACTTTCGTGACATTTTAAGTGACCAAAATATTTCAGTTTTCTGTGTTTTAGCATCTTTGATAGACAACCTTCTTCAGTATTCAGTTCTTGAAGTATGGATGCATTTGTTCTTTTCTTTACTCATGATATTCTTAGAACCTGTCTATAACATTTGTATTCAAAGGCATCTATACACTGTCCAGCTTGTTTAGTAAGTGTCCGGGTCTCACAGGCGTATGTTGCAATGGGAAAGATGCTTGCTCTTGAAATCAAATTTTTGTAGTTCTGTCTGTCCCACTCCATAATTTATTCAGCTGTTTTAGTATTTGAAGAGCAATTGGTTGAAAGGCATAGAGCACACGGAAAACCAAAAACAAGATGGAAAGATAGCATCAGAGAAACTGCTTGATGTGTCTGTGGTCAAGATGGCCAGAATAGCAAGAAGTAGAAATGTGTATTGCCTCGAACTCTGACCTTGTAAAAGAGGAAGTGGTGAAGAAGAAGAAGAATAAGTTGTGTGCTCAAAATGGTGTTTATTTGTTGCTTTCAGGAATGATTTTAGAGCTGGAGCCACAGGTCATCAAGCTGCTTCTGCAGGACCAGCAGCAACTGGAGGTGGCAATAGCCAAAGCTTACACTGAATGGAAGAAACACTCCTGACACAACCACAGAACTACAGATTAGCAGTTAGAATCTTCCCTCAGGGGATGAAATATGTATGAGATCATAGATAAGCAGTTAACATTGTTAGTTTTGTGTTTTCTTCCAACCAACTATCAATACAGACCCACACTGTATAGAGAAGACCACTCCTGACACAACCACAGAACTACAAATTAGCAGTTAGAATCTTCACTCAGGGGATGAAATATGAATGAGATCATAGATTAACAGTTAAAATTTTTAGTTTTTGTTTTCTTCCAACCAACTATCAATACAGACCCACACTGAAGAAATAAAATAAACACATAGAGAAGACCACTATAAGATACAAAGGCAGCATCAAGAACAGCCTCTAAGAAATGATGATAAACTTATACAGTGCATTAGAAAGAGCACAGAAGACTCTTACATCTCATCCCAACACTTGGCTGGGGTAACTGGAAGAAAGTAAGAAGGAGGAGGAATCAAAAAGTTAGTTTTTTTCTGTGTTGAAAACAAAAGCCTGATTAAATTGATAAAAATTAAATAGGATGGATTAAAGAAACATGAGCATCATTTTGCCAGTTCTTCTTTATGGAGCGGAATGCTGGAGAATGACCAAAAAGGTTGCACACAAGCTGTCCACCTTCTACCACACATGTCTACGTAGAATTATCAAAATTTTCTGGCCAGATACAATCTCAAACACTAAACTACTTCAAGCCACAAACCAAGAAACTTTAGACAGTATGATTACCAAGAGAAGATGGAAATGGCTTGGCCAAGTTATGAGAATGACTTCTGATATACCTGCCAAAACAGCTCTCACATGGACACCAGAGGGAAAGAGAAAACAGGGGCGCCTAAAAACAACATGGAGACGAACGATGGAAAGTGACCTGAGTGCGGCATCTTTGACATGGAAAACTGCAATGAAGATTGCACAGGACAGGAAAGCATGGAAAGTCCTCTCTGAAGCCTCATGTGCCACTAGGCATAACGAGAACTGATGATATATATATATATAAAAAAAAAAAAGAAACATGAATAAATAAGACAAATGTCTGGACAACCATTGGTATCAACAGTTACAAGACAGAGATGGTACAGTGTTGAGACGCACAGAAAATTAAAAAAACAGGCACTAAAAAGTAAAACTAGTCGATTCAGAAAAAAAAAAGAGGACATTAAAGATAAATCCTAAAATGAATGGTGATGAGAGAGGCCAAAGCTGCTCGACTGGTTTCCTTCCATGGTGTTTGTTTTGTTTGATTTAGTATCCAAAAGCCATGAGTTGTTAACGGTTAGGCTCGGTATTAAGGATATCGCAACCTTTCGGCCTTGATTCCATTGTAAATACCGTAAATCTGCAAGAAGTGTGGCTATTCTGCCTACCCTTGGGAGTGAACCCGGACCACAAGGAGTTCGTCACCCGCTCACCACGCAATCCGGTTTAGCCAGCTACGCTAGAGAGATGGGTTCCATGGTGTAGAATGGATTGCACAGAATAGAATGGAGGAGTGGATTGTGAGTTCTGTATGACATAGAATGGCAGAACAGTAGGATGAGGGTGATAATGACGACAAATATCTTGAATTAGTACAACCTCTCCTATATTGAAAACAAAAAAGCACTTGAAAAACCTAAAAGCATAAACAAACAAACAGCTAGTGACACAGACTGTGGAAAGCCGTACACAACTGAAATATCACCAGCTACTTCCTGTAAAAAAATTATTATATAGGTTGTTACAATAACATGGGGATATTGTGTGGCTGTTCACATAGTTATTGACATTCCATTGAATTTGTTGTTATCCCTCATGTAAGTTCTGGGGCCCCATTGTGGGGAAAAAAAGAATAGACCCACTGCCTGCTCAAAATCATGTCGTAAGAGTCGACTAATTGGGGAGCTTCCTTTGAAGTCGGAGTGCATCTGCCGGAGAGGCAAGGAACCAACAGTCTGTATTCAAGAGAATGAGATCTGTAAAACTGATGCACACGCAACACTCAGGTTCTGGAGCAGGACTGCAGTTCAGTAGTGGACGAGCAACCAGAACCTTCCGCCAGAGTTTACAGCAGGTGAACGCGAAGAAGACGAAGAAGAGTTGTAATAAAAAACCCACAAAAAACCATGAATTGGATCTTCTAGATGTTATATTTATTGCCACATCTGTCTCCCTTATTTACCAAATGTCTTATTTATATGCTGGAGTAAATCCTTATTGTACATGTTTTTTTCCATCTGTGAAGTGCAATTTAGATGTGTTTGTTTTATTTATTGAGTTTCCTACACCGAGAACTGTTTAAGTTTCTTGGTTATTATTTATTCAGTGCCATATTTTTTCGCTCGCCTCCTGATCCGAAGATAGGGAGTTCAGATCTTGACGGAGCCATACTTTTTTCAAAGGTGACCTTAACTCCCAGGTTGACCCAACTTTAATTGGGTACCAGGTAAAGTTCTGGGAAATAAAGGCGACAGTGTGATGTTGATCACATCAGCCAAGAGTGCCGAATGGTCTATAAAATATAGGTCTAGCCCTATATGTCAGTTACGCCCGAAGGCGGGGAAAAGGGTCCTTATTGTTTCCAAATTACAACACAGTCTTTATGATAGTAAGTAAGTAAAGTAAAGTAAAGGACCCTTTTCACGCCTTTAGGCATATAGGGCTAGACCTATATTTTATGAATCAATCAACACAAGATCGGTAAATTGTTCAGCATCAAGTCAGTCACCATTACTTCCCGGGACTGCACCTAAAACCCACTCAAGGCTGGGAGCCGAGGTCGTTTTTGAAAAAAAGTCTGGCTCCACTAGAGCGTGAACCCACAACCTTCCGATCCACAGGTGAGTGTCTAGCCGCTACGCCACCGACTCCCCTCTTCAGTCCTACCCATGTTTTGTCTTGTGAATAGGAGGAACTTCTTCATCCCTGGCTCAGGATAGCTGGTTATTGCTACAGACCATGAGTCCCATGCTTCCTTGTAGCTTCTCCCTCGTTTCCTTCTGCGGAAAATTCTGCCTTCTGGGACTGTCTTTTTCCAGAACTTCACTTTAGCGTGCACGTCCATTTTACATATCTGACCTATCTGTAAGCCGACTGCTTGTTTCTTGTGTCTCAGACATCTGCACTCTGACTTCAAGGCAAACACCCTTAATTAGTTGCTGTTTTCAATATGCTGAGGGCTGGGCTGAGGGGGGGATGGCAAGGGAGCAGTGAGTGTACAGCCGTCCCCCCTTCCAACGGGACCCTGGAACCCACATGGGGATTTCCTTAGATATTACCAGCTCTCACAGTGTTACATTCTAACTTTTTTGTTGTTGTTGTGTGGACAGAAAAGTTCTGCTTTTTAAGATGTCCATAATAAATTGTTTTGTGTCTTATTGTAACTATCCAAGGTGATTTCTGCATTATTATATCTGTCTGCATTTCTGTGGTTTCAAAAGGATTGTTTTACTTGATTATCATTATCTATAGCAGAGGGTGAACTCAGTGTCATGATTCTTGTATATCAGGGTTCAAAGTTAGCTTCAGGCAATTTGATAACAGATCACTTTGTACTGATTTTGACAGGTTTTTTGAGGGTTTTACCCTTAGGAAACCAATAGCAAACCACCGAAAGTAAGATTTCCTAGTAAAACCACAGAGCCAGTAAAGGCTAGGAATGGGTTGCTACATCATAAAGAGGTTCATCTGGGAAGGAATTCAACATCACACCATCCATATTAACTCTGTCTACCTCCTCAAATGGGTACCAGGATGGCTATCCTGGGGAAGTAAAGACGGCCGGTGTAATGCTGACCACATTACCCAGCTAGTGCCGATTGGCCTGTAAAAATATGGGACGCTCTCCCTATATGCCCGATGTGCTTAAGGCGTGAAAAGGGATCTTTACCTTTTTTACTTATACAAAAGTAGACAGTATTTTCCATCTTTCTTTAAGTTATGTTTTTCAATAAATACAATTTTATTTGCTGGTTAATTATTGTTTATGTTCTGAATGTTATATATTATATAATATATATATATATATATATATATATATATATATATATATATATATATATATATATATATATATTTTTTAACGTATCCAGAAACCATGAGTTGTAAACCCTTTGGCTCGGTACTATGGATATCGCAACCCTTCGGCCTTGATTCCATTGTAAATACCATAAATCTGGGAGAAATGTGGCTTTTCTGCCTACCCCCGGGAGTGAACCCGGACCACAAGGAGTTCGTCACCCGGCCGCTGCGGAAGTCAGGTTTAACCAACCTCGCAAGAGAGCCGGGCTATGTGTTATATATATATGGGGGCACCAATACTGCTTTAGTACATGGGCCCACTGGGCACCTGCCTGGGTGGGGGGGGGGGGGGGGGGGGAAGGGGGCTCATTAGCATAGGGACCCATGCTAATTTGTGTATGTCAAATGATGGTTTACATTTCATTCATGTGAGTGGTTGCTTGCCCCGGGACATCGGCTCGATGGTACGACCCACAATTTTGTAATTGCTTATGGCAACAAAGGGTCTTAAACCGGCTGGCTGTGGGCCGGAAAGTGTAGTTGTCGAAGACTAGTCATAAACCACGACACAACATGCCACGCACCCATTTACGCACACACGCTGAAGAAGAAAAGAAAGAAACAGAAGAAGGAGGAGGAGAAGAACCAAAAGGCATTTTTTATTTTTGTCTTTTGAGAATTAGAAAAGGGAATACATGGCAAAGAGAATGTCTTCGTCAACGAAAGAAGAGGAAGTAAAAGAAGTCGCACAAAGCCTGCGACATTGAACATACTGTAAGTCTGTATATCTGGCAAAGTGACCTGTTCCTGCTCTGTTTACAGAATCACTCATTTTCTCTTGCAAGGGTTAACGTAATCACTGTCAGCACCTGGCACTGGAAACCTGAAACGTCATGAAGAAAAAAGCAATATGACCTCATACATTACGGCAGGGCAGTATTGGGTCAAAGATAGAGAACAAATGTTTTCAACATTTCCACATCTCTTGTATGTTTGTTTTGTTGTGTCCCATTTATACATTTGATCATTATCATCATCAGCATCAGTTTCTATTTTTGCTGTGAAGCGCCATGTCTTCTGCTATTATTTTTTCCCTAATCTGCTGTGGTCCTTGATAATGCCAAAATATGTCAGTTTCGGAGACAAAAATACTGTTTACTAATCCATATTCCTTTAGGATGCCAATATTTCTGTTCTTCTTTGTCCATGGTATTTGGAGAATCTTTCTAAAGCGTTTCAGTTCATAATCATGTTACTACTGTACGTGAATAAATTAACTGATCAATAAAATATGGGGCATGAATAAAATGATTAATGGCTCTTGAAAGTACACACGGAAGTGTGACTGATCACAAAACATTTCATGCAAAACTAAACTTCGACTTCTCAGAACACTAGTTATTAGCACGTTTACATATGGTTGTGAAACATGGACCTTAACAGCTGAACCCCAGAAGAAGATAAAAGCATTGGAAATGCTGAGAAATGAGAACAGTTCTTCACGTATCATATAGTGACCATATCACAAATGAAGGTGGGCAATGAACAGGCAGACTGTTTGTCTGGATCTTCACCACTGGGTGGTGAATTGATACATGACAAGGCAGATGTGGTCAGGGCCCTATGGGAACAAGTGATGAAGTCAGGAGCGAAACAAGATGAGGCACCAGGAGAGAATGAGACACTTGGGTGTAACCAGAGGGTCTGGCCCGCTCACTACACTCAGAGAAAAGGCAAGACGGACATATAACCAGATTATGATTCATCATTATTGGAACTCTACACTGGCTGCTGAAGATTAGGATGGAGCATGCATGGGAACGCCCCAACTGCTGTGATGTCAATTCTTGACTTAAGTCAACTCAAAACAAATGATGAAGTTAGACGTGCAGTTATCCAGCACTGTGACAACTATGAACTTTTTACAACAGGAGAAAGGCGAAAAATGCAATGGTACGAACATGTAAAAAGATCTAGCGGTCTCCCAAAAACAATTCCTGGGGGGTTCGGTAGAGGGAAAGAGGAGAAGAGGCAGACGACGTAAATCCTGGGTACAGAAATTCTTTTATAACACAATCATTACTCATGCAATCATGAAGTCTATTGCAACTGACTGTCAAAAGTAGAGGGAGGGGATCACACTGTCAACGGCAACTGGTGGCTCAGCGACTCGCAGTATTACGGGATGATAAGAATGACGACAGAGGAAGGATACAAAAGCACTACCTGCTTCCAAAACGCTGCATCCTGTAGGGAACTGGGACTGGCTTGATAGGACCGCCAGCTGGCATTATGATGTAAGCTACTTCACAACTGGTCACAATTGAATAGGATGGGTTGTGCTGCCAGAATTCATGTTAGTTATTTATGTCATGACGACTTTCGGTCCCATAAGGTTTTGTAGAAATTTATCAATTTCTCTCTCTCTCTCTCTCTCTCTCTCTCTCTCTCTCTCTCTCTCTCTCTCTCTCTCTCTCTCTCTCTCTCTTTCTCTCTCTCTCTATCTCCACCCCCCCCCCCCTTTTCCTATATTAAATACTGCAACCAAAATTCTAACCACTTGCTGTGTTGTAGTAATAAAAAATAAATAGTTTACCCCTGTGGCTGCCATATTTATTTAGCATACACTGCAGGCTGCGTGGATTTGTATCGTGGTATGGGACGTCGCAGGTCAACCCAGCCTAAAATGGGTACCAGGATGGGCTGTCCTGGGAAAGTAAAGACAGCCGGCGTAATGCTGACCACATTACTCACCGAGTGCTGATGGTCTGTAAAAATATGAGACGCTCTGCCCATATGCCCGATGCGCCGAAAGGTGAGAAAAGGGATCTTTACTTTACTTTACTTACACTGACCAAAACTTAAAATATAAGAAGACAATGTCTTTTTTTTTTTTTCATGTTTTCTGGCTGTTAACTCAGGCGGAAAGTTCTGGTTGTTTGTCCACCTCTGGACTTAATTGAATACAGACTGATGGTTTCTTGTCTCTCAGGCAGATGCACTCAGACTTTGAAGAAATCTCCCAATTAGTTGACTCTTATGACATGATTGTTGGAGAGTTATGGGATTATTTTGGTTTTCCCCACAATGAGGCTCCAGAACCCTCACGAAGAGATGCTTAATGTGATGTTTGGGATATACGGGGGATAGTCAGTAACACATCCTGGGTTGTTTACGACTGAAGGAGTTAATCTCCCGGAGGAAAATCTTGATTCATCATCATCCTCATCAAATTGCGCCATTGTATGTCACATAGAGCTCACATTCGTAGTCGAGTCCTCTATTCGGTTCTGTCTTGTGCAATCCTTTCGATCTCAAGGATGGAATTCATCATAACTGGCACAAAGAAACCGTTCTGCATTATAACCAATACTGCTCGCAGTAGGTTGAACGTTGTCGATATTTTGTTTTGTTGGACGGATGGATGGAATTCAGTCCAGCATCTGTAGCGCTCAGGTGACTTTTGATTCCAGAGATTGTCCGTGTATTTCTTTGATTTCCTCCCTAATGTGCATCATTTTACTCGGGCATTTGTTTTCGAATGCATGCGTATCGTTCGAGAACTATATCACTTGTGGGTCTGTTGTGTACATAAGGGTGTACTGTGTCAGGGACGCTTTCAGTGACAAGACGAATGGCTTGTTATCTGTGTGGTTTGAGTAATACAGAGGTCGCTGACACGTTTATCTACTGATCCTAAAATTTAAGGTTCTAATTTTAGCTTAACTTGCTTTTTGCAGATAAAAGGTCACGTTCAATCAGCATCCCCAAAGCGGAAGCTTTAGATTATAATTGTGACTAGGTTATGTGTGCCATATAAAATGGTTTAGTACTGCTCGCCACCAAGTAGCCCTGATAATGACTCTTGTAGTGTTGATGCGATCAAAGGAGGCTAAGGTTAGTTGCGGTATCCTTTACAGGCCGTTGCAGAACCAACCCCAGTAGCCCCTGGCTGGTTTCTCTAGGCAAATTTACGTCCAGTAGTTTGCCATTGCTCTGGACGTTCGGCTCCCTGATACCACTGTCAAAACCAACACATGGCGCATGGCCCCCAGCTGGGATCGAACCCGGCACCCCGGCATTACGAAGCGTTTGCATCGACTTGGCCACAGAGCCGACGATTAAAGGAGACAGGCCCAATTAATGTTCCGATCGGCGACAAAGAGTCGTTTACCGACCAGCCTATGCGCGACTCGATCACCGATGAGGTTCGAACATGCGATAAATGGACCAGGACTGTTCCTGGCACCATCATAACTAGAACTGCCCTGGCTGCTTAAGATAAAAGCACAGGGTTTGCAGCAATAACCCCAGTACTGTGGTGGTGAAGGTTCTTGAGCCCGGACTTCTGGATGTAGTCATAGGTCGACTTAAGACTAAAATGAGTACCAAGCCATTTGGTAAAAAGTGAGACGTTGACTACGTCACTGATAGCGTGCCGATTGATCTTTGCTGCATACGGCTAAGCTAAAAAGAGAGTTAAAAAGGTATTCATACGTATGTACATTTATATCAAATAAATCACCACGGCCTAGAGGGGATGGTGCAGCCGGCAGTGACCAATGAATCAGACCAGTACTCTTCTTCTTCGTGTTCACCGGCTGTAACCTTCAGCGCACAGTTCTGTTTGTTCGTCCACCTCTGGATTTTAGTCTTGTTCTAGAATGTGGGTGAAGCACATCCGTTGCACAGATCTGCCTTATGCTTGTGTACACTGTTGGTTCCTAACTTTTTAGGCAGATGCTGTGGAGCTGTGTGGTCTCGAGGCATGGTGTTCGGCTCGAGGGCTAGAGGTTCATGGTTTAATTCCCGGTAAGAGCTGGGATTTTTTTCACGTTGCCTTGGACTTGTAGTAATTCTCCATGGTCTCTGGGTAGTGAGATCGGACACCCGTGTGCATTGTTGCGCACGTAAAAAATCCCTTGGCAGTTGAAAATCGAAAAGAGTAGCATAACGGCACTGCCTGGGAGAAATTTGGAGTTAAAAATCTACCCAAAGTATTTCAGGATCCTCGCCGGTGCTACGGAGCATGTGCACTGGGCTGAGCTTCTTCGGACTCCGACTTAAGTTAGAAGAAAAACGGAGCACTAATGGGTTACTACCCGTGTGCCATGATGTTGTTTTGTTGTTCAAATCGTTCAACCTTCAAGACAACTCCACTTCCTTCACTTTCTAATAGAAAATACCTTAAAACGAAAAAGTTAACAGCAAAGATGTGTCCGTTACAGTCGCTTAGAGACAAGGGAAACTTTTAAACAAAGGGTTTCACAAAACATCCATTCCTACCCCTTTAATGTTGGTACTGCAGTCCGGAAAGTTAATCAGATAGTCACCATTTTCAAGTGGTTGGACAGCTGCTTTACATGCTTCATAAGTCTGGATATCGCCGGGTTTCAGGGATGAAAGAGACTCAATCTTGTATTCTTCGAATCTGAAAGTCGAAAGTAAACTTTTAAAATAGATAACGTTTAATAATTGATTTTATTATTGAAAATGTCACAACCAACTGTATCCAGATGATTCTTTACTGATTTACTGTTAGTATTGGTTTTTTTTATTTAACGTTTTTTTTTTTTTTTTTTAGTTTCTTTTGTGATATGACTGATTAAAAAAAATGATCAAAAGAGGTTTAAATCTTGTTCAAATGCGGATTGTTGTTATTATTAGTATTATATTATTATTATATTATGTTATGATTTTATTATTATTATTATATAATGGCAAAAAACTATAATAACATATTTGAAGTATACTGAAAGAAATGAACAAATACTTTAAAAAGAGAACGTCTATACATGGCTTGTGGGGGCACTTAGCCCAAGTTTACCTTTTTAAGGTGGTAGGCAGAGTCTCAGCTCTCATAAGAATTATTGGGCGAAGGGTGGGGGGTGGATGGGGGCGGGGGGTTCTGACTCCCCCTAAAACAGTAGTTCTTAATCTTCCTAACACCGCGATCCTTTAATACAGTTCGTTATGTTGTGGCGATCCTTTAATTCAGTTCGTTATGTTGTGGCGATCCTTTAATACAGTTCGTTATGTTGTGGCGATCGTTTAATACAGTTCGTTATGTTGTGGCGATCCTTTAATTCAGTTCATTATGTTGTGGCGATCCTTTAATACAGTTCGTTATGTTGTGGCGATCGTTTAATACAGTTCGTTATGTTGTGGCGATCCTTTAATACAGTTCGTTATGTTGTGGCGATGCCTAACCATGAAATTATTGTCCTTGCTACTTCATAACTTTAGTGAATATCTGTTTTCCAATGGTGTTTGCCGACCCCTGTGAAAGGGTCGTTCGACACACAAAAGGGTCGCGACCCGTAGGTTGAGAACCCCTGCCCTAAACAAATTGAAAAAAGTTATGGAGAGAGAAATGTGCGGGGAGGGGTGGCTGGGGTGGGGGTAAGATATGAATTAGATTTATGTTGCTTCAGTTCAATGTTCTTTGCGTTAACTGACTGTAAACACGCATGGAAAGCTCTGGTTGTTCATCCACTTCTGGACTTTAATCTTCTTCCAGTTCGTAGTTTTGTGTGCACATTCGTTTTAAAAATCAGGCTTTTTGTATGCAGACTGTTGGTTCCTCGCCTCTCAAGGCTAGGAATAAAGCCAGTCTTACAGGTAATCAAAGAACAACAAATGAAGTGGTTTGGACACCTAACAAGAATGCCCTGGTACTATCTGCCACAGCGAGCCACATTAAAACGTTACAACGGGTACAGAACGAGTGGAAGACCTCGGAAAAAATGGAGTGATGGCATTAAGAACAACCTTACAGAAATAAACAGCAGTCTTAATAGTGCTCTTGACAGAGCTCATCAACGATCATTACATCTCCCCCCGACACTTCGATGAGGTACAAGGTGGAAGAGAAGAAGAAGAAGAAGACATCGCAGACACGACGAGCTCCGTTGCTTGCTATTATATAATCTTGTACAGTCTCAGTCAGTCAGTAACCCCCTTAGTCCGTAGTCTTCTAGATTTACCTCTGCGATGACAAACGGCACAAAGTCGCCTCAAGTTAAGATTTAGCTATGTTCGGACTAACAGGTGATCAGTCGAATGTATATTTTTAAACACTAATTTTATTAAAAAGGGTTTAAAACTCTACTTAAAAGACAAACATTCAATCTGTGCATGTATAATTGTTGCAAATAAGGTCGAAAATACACAAAAATGTACTCTATTGTCAGTACTGTAAAGTAACCATATTTCTTTACTTAACCGTTTTTTTTTTACACATTTTTTTGTGGGGGGGGGGGGGGGGGGTGTTTAAGAGCTGGTGGTCGCAAGTTGAAGACAAGGTGTACTGACAAAAGAAAACACAAACACAGAAAGGCGTGGGCCCTGAAATGTATTTAGGATTTAGAGGACAGGGTAAGAAGATCTGTCTAGTATAGAGAAGTCAAGGATCCGTCTCCACGCCTACAGTCTTATTGTGCAGATTTAGCTTGTCCTATATTTTTAAATAGACCATTCGGCATCCGGGGGGTGATGTGATCGATTCCTGCTGGCCGCTTTTACTTAACAGGAACCACCTGCTACCCATTTAAGGCTGGGTCGACTTGGGAGCCAAAGTCATTTTTGAAGAGAAGTCGCGCTCAGCTGGGACCCGGACAATCGACCTTCCAAGATACACCTGCTTACTTGAATTGTGTGCCGTTAGTGAAGATGTGTGGCGTCATGAATAAAATGCCATCCTTATCTTCAGTTACTGTCACGAGTGCTAGAATGTTAACCCGGCCATTTGTTGCTTGCTCCAGATACAAGAAAGGCTCCTGAAGTGTAGAAACATTTGATGGGCATC